GTCGACGAAATGTTCTTTCGACGAAACGTTTTTCGACGAAATGTTCTATCGACGAAATGCTTTTCGACAAAAAAATTTCGACAAAGTTACTGCGACGAAAAGTCTGCCCACCAAAGTGTCATTCGACAAATAACATACCATTCCATTTACCCTATCATTTTTAATATTTTAAATTGCTTCTAAGTCTTATGAACAAAATACAGACTTCACGCAGTAGAAAGCTATGATGAAATAATTGAATCTAGAACAACAAAGATAAAAGAAAAATTATGATTTTGATTGATTTCTTTCGATTAAGTTGATGTTTTCATTCAATGCCTAGATTGTTTTAATTTTTTTGATTTTTTTGATTGAAAATTGATTTAAATCAAAAAAACCAGCTGTTTCCCACTTGTTCACAACACTAAAAAAAAGAAAAATATTTGTGTTTTTATTTTTGAAAATAAAATTTCTTACCTTTTATCAACAATTTCAGGATAATGCATTTATAAAGAATAAATACATGTAACATACGTATCTTGTATAGTTCGACCACTATGCCATTTTAATATAAAACTTAATTACTCTAATAAGCGTTCATTTGATTGATCTTTTAATTTTTTAACATTTAATAACATTCCAACAACTTCAGCAGCTGCTGCATAAATATTTCGAAAAGAATTTTTCATATTTTTTAATAATGTTTCATTAAATTTATCTTCAGTTAAATCATTTATTTCATTATATGGTAATATATTATTAGCTAATAATATTCCAATTAATGATAAACCTACAGCATTATGTTTTGATTTAATATCTTGATCTGATATTAATTTATATATAATTAATGTTGGTGCATATATACGTTCATTCCATGATTCAATTAATTTTTTAATTAAATCTAAATTTGTTTTCATAATAAATGTATTTTTATGTGTACAATTAAGAAATAAATATTCTAATAAACGTTGTACTGCTGTTCTATCAAGTTCACTTGGTATAGCTATTGAATTCTATGATAATAATATAACAATTGTATCAATAAGAAATGTATTTAAACCTTCAGAAGATTTTTCAAACATTTGATTACACATATGAATTATTGGTGTTAACCAATAACGTGCATAAGGTTTAAATATTGCATGTGTATGTATAATAAGACGTATAATAAATAATTTTATATTAAATGTTATTGTTGTATCACTAAATTTTTTATATAAACAAATCATCCAAGATGGCATATCTGATTGAATTGGTATTATACCATTTGTTTCCATATGTTTAAGTAAACATATCATTGGTACCATACACGGATGTAAATTAAGTTCATCCATTTCAATTTCAATAAAATTAGCTCTAAAATCATTATCTGTACCTTCAATTAATGCTGGCCTATCATCATTGTTTTTATTTAAAGATATTTCAAAAGAATTTTCTGATAATAAATTTAATTGATTTTTATTTAAATCATTTTGTTGTTGACTAGCAGCAATAGATGTAAAATCAAATACAGCTAATTCATCAGTTAAACTACTACCAAATAAATATTGTGATGGTAAATAACGTGGTGTAGTTGATGAACGTTGTTGATGTAATTGATTATCAGAATTTGAAGATGTAAGAATTTTTTTACATAAAATATTTAATAATGTACATTTATCTTTTTTATAATAACGTTCAAGTTCAAGAGAAAATTTATATTTATAATCTGGATCGATTATATTTTCAAATATATATTCATCCTATTAAATAAAACAATAAAATTATTTTCGATAATAACATTCAAATAGTAGAAGGAAAATCGGAATGGATTATGAAAATAATCAAGTTTTTTTTATATAACAGTCTGACCTTTCTAGAGAGTCTTTTATATCTTTCCATCATCTACACATCGAGTTATTCAAATGTCAAGGAACGTGAAAAAACTATACTTTATAAGTTATGCTACTATTAAAAAGATTAATTGAATGTAGCTTTAATTCGTTATGTGGCTAAGAATTTTTCTTTTAATTCAGACAAAAGTCATTTCAATAATCATGTGATTAGTTTTTTAAACTATTTACCTGAAACTACTTTTGATCCTTCTCAGCATTGGATCAAGTCAGTGTTAAAATAACTTTTCAACGAAAAAAAAGTTTGTCAGAATACTTGAAAAATACATAAGTCTATTCAATTTTTGATGCATATTCAGAGTATCATATTAGTTTTCATATCGAAATCTACTAAACACCAGTACAAAAAAAAAAGAGTCAAAGTCTTGCCTCAAGTACAGTGTACTTACGAATTTCTTTGTGTCGCTAGTCTGTTTTTCCTCGAGTCATCTTGAAATGTTTTAAAAGTGCTATCGAGTCATATTAAAATAGGCTGAGGAATGATAAAAACTGGCACCAGAGGTGTATCAAGGCAATATGCTCTATGTGAATTCATATCGGCTAGTAATTTTACCAGTATAATGTGCACTACACCGGCAGCGTACCACCCAAATCTATTGAAAATATTGTATTATAGTGAATAATTTAGAAGTTTATTAATACGAACAGCATTGTGTTGTTCTCGATATATCCTTATAAGGCTGATATGTTTGAGTCGCTGGTACTAGCGACGGGAGTTTGAATTGACTACAACTATGAGATAAACTCGAGGGAGCAATGATGGACTCCTATATTCCTGGAGTCTATCGAATGTAGTATGTAAAACCAAGGAGAGCACGACGTACTCTAGTATTTCCATACTTCCTAGACTTCTTGTACTCGCATTGTATTTTATAAACTCCATAAACTTCAGAAGTACTATGGAAGTCCACAGAGTCAATGTACTCTGACTGGACTTCATTGAACTCCCTGTACTTTGGAAGTCCACCCGCAGTACATGGATTCGATGAAATAAAGGGGTAGATCATTTTCGTCATTAAAATTAAGTGCAATTTTAATTAATTATATGATTAAAAGAGAACGAGAACAAAGATAGCTACTAAGCGGATCAAGTGACCCACTTGCTTAAGAAGAAAGTAAAACAACTTGATACTGATGCAAATGGCTTATACATACACTTCTCTTTTTAAATGTGCCGGTATAGTAGAGGAACTACCCAGGATTTCAACTTGTTACAGATCTTCTATCTAGGAACTTATATCTGCATTTATAGTAGTTTCAAAATTTTCTAATCCGGTAAAGAGATGCCTAGACGAAATTCAGCTTAGCTATCTCTTATTCGATTACGATATTCCATAAGCACCAGAAACTATAAGTAAATGCTTATGTGACAAAAAAAAACAGAATAAAGGGACTATTATATAGTGATAGAATATCTTTATCAAAGTATTCTGCTTGAATAATGTTACCAAAGATTTTTGAACATTAGTAAAATGCTTGAAAAAATTATCGAACTATTTGTTTTTATTTATTAATATGCATTACAATAAGAATTTAATTTTTGTACTAATGTTGGAAATAGTTACAAGTGATAGATTTCGACATGCTGAATATTTTTGGTATGAGGATCATCTTGAAATATCGTCAAGAGCTCTCGTGAATTGCATAGAAACGGTTTCAATCAAACTAGCTACAATAATTGATTTACCCCAATGATGTCAAAGCAATGATTGATTTACCCCAAGTGGGTAAATCAATTAAATTTCTTTTCTGGTACCCTCAGAAACTTTTTTTTGTGTTCGGTTTTATTTTAGTTCAAATAAGTAGGATTCGTTTAGGATTGTAGAAAAATGTTTGGACTTTCTAACGATGTAAAAATTTTCTACACTGGGCTCACAGAATCTTTAAAAATAAGGTTTTATATAATACAGGTAAAGATGTATAGAACTAGCGAGAATCCGTGTATACTGCACGGCAGCTTTTTTTAACCCACGATCGCAAACCTCTAACCTTTCACTCGGTAACACACACATACACAACATTATGTACATAGAAGCCCTACCGCGTGATATCCTTATAGCGCTAATCGCCCGTGTAGCCTTATATTTCTTGTAGCTCTTGTAGCCTTGCCCGCTAATAGCCTTACCCCCTTATACTCTTCCTCCTTATAGTCTTCCTCCCTTATAGCTTTATCCCCTTATTGCCTTACTCCTTTATAGTCTTACCCTCTCATAACCTCACCTTCTTATAGTCTTACCCTCTCATAACCTCACCTCGTTATAGTCTTACTCCCTTATAGATTTATTCCTTATTGTTTTGCTCTCTTATCACCTTACCCCCATATAGTCTTACCTATCTATAGTCCTACCCCCTTATAGCTTTTTTCATCTTTAACCTTTGGCCTGGCACAGAGAAACAGACACTGAACATTATATATATATATAATTGATTTACTCCATATGGGATAAATCAATTATAAGAGAGGTAGAACTCTGAAAAACCAGCGTAGAATCCGTTTCTGAAGAGTATTTTGAGAAACTAAACATATAGCTTGATAGAACATTGTCTGCTCTACATGAGTGGTAGCAAAAATATTTTTATCCAATAAAAAATAAAATTTATAGAAGAGAAAAGACAAGCCATTGAAAAAAATAATTAATTTACTCATCATAGTCAACCTTTAATCTAGTCCGACTACTTCAGAGTACAATGAAGAATAGATTCTGAATTATATTAAAAAATAAAACATGCTCTTTTTCACCTCAATATATCATTGTAGACAACAAAGATCAAATTGATTAATATTAATAGAACCATCTCATCTTTTTTTTTTAGATACAAATAACTAAACATGATTAAAGTTTTTCAGTTATAATTAGATTGTTCGTAATTAAAAATAAAAATAAAAGAACTTTGGACAATAATTCATCATTCATTTAAATCTCTGACCATTCATCATTATTTTATATAATTGGTTGAATCCACCATTATAATTTTATTTAAGTCTTTATTTATATTTTTAAAACAAATAGAATAAATTGTATCTGTTGTTTATTCTTTCGTTTCTGTTCTTCATACAACGTATACAAACACAGAAAATATTGGAAAGAAGTAGACATAACATATTTACAAATAACTAATCTTAGTATTATTACAATAAATACACGCAAATGTCTATGGCAACAACAACAACATATACTCAATCCTTATTACAAAGAATGTCATCAAATGATAAAGATTTACGTTTTCAAGCAGTAGCAAATTTAATGAATGATTTACGACAACAATCATTTAGATTAGATGATGATAGTGAATATCATGTGGTCCAAGGTGTTTTAAAATTATTAGAAGATACAAATAGTGAAGTACTAAATCAAGTTGTTCAATGTATTGCACTATTATTATATAAGGTAAACGGACTATCATTTAAAAGAATATCTGATGCATTATGTTCAACTTTCAAAAAAGTGTCAACAGATACGGAAAAATTGCATGATATGAAAGTTACAAGTTTAAAAACAATTTTTGCATCATTATTACAACAACAGCAAGCAATACAAATCTTTAATCCAGCAAATATTATTATGGATCATTTAGTAACAGTTATTGTTGAAAGTTCAAGAACAAAAGCGAATAGATCAAATGGAAGATTGCATAATGCTGGACATGGTGAAATAGAAATTTTAGATCTTATTCGTGATACACTATCAACAACACCAGATGCTCGATACAAATTTTCTCTTTGTCATGTACCATTATCAAGAATTTTAAGAAAAAATCTAGCATCACCACGAGCAGATATTCGACCAAGAGTACCAATACTAATCAAGTATTTAGATATGAAAGTAACTATATGTATAATGAGAAACTTTAATTCTAGATTGATTCCTTGTTACGGACACAAATTGTGTGGTTGCAGCGGAATGTATTGAAACATTATGCGTACACAATGAACATATTAAAATGATTTTTGACGAGACAAAGCGCATGATTGAATTTTATTTTAACAATCTTTTTAGTTGATGAATTTTTTATTTATTCATCATGTGCTTTTGTATTTTTACTGAACAGTGATGTTTTAAAAAAT